TATTCTAGCCTATGAACCCAAACTCTGGAACCAGCCTAACTGGAGGACCCTTCAGTCAACCTCTAGGATCCAGCAAAGGAGTGACTTGGATATCATATTATAGCAAAACACTAAATTCATCTTTATTTTCTCATTGGAAAAGACATTTCCAGCCGATACAAGATATCTGTTTCTTCTCTGGCACTTTCATTGGACAATTATAAGGATGTAGAGGTATTGTCAGCATATGAGAGTTACATTGATTTCTCCACTGCCACCCAGGCCAATTTGGAAACAATTTTCTGTGTGTTCATCCTTATGATTGGATATATACAATGCTACCTTAAAGAAGTGGGGCAGAGAAAATTAGGAGATGTGCCTGATTTACACCAAGGGTTGATATGGCGTAGTGAAGGATAAGCTTGGCTAGGAAGAGAGAGTAGGGTGAAGTTATTAATATATGATCGAGGAGCTTGGCTTTAAACTAAGGAGGCAATGTACAAATTTATGTTTCAGTCATAACAAACCATCCATTTACTGGCTGCCTTCCCTCCAAGAAGTTTTAAATATGGGAGAATTCTAAACCAAATATAGAATCCACTTGAGTTGCATGGATCCAATGTTAGAAAAAAATTCACACTTTTAAGTGACTGATTATATAGCTCTGAAAAAGATCACTTTTTGGTTCAAGAGGTAAGCGCTTTTGGCTTAAACCCTCATGAGTCCTGATCAGCCAATAACTCTTTCACAACTTAAATAAGTGTTCACTGACTTGAAGATAAATCAGAAATGCATGCATTGCATCCCCACCTTGCCCTCTCCCATAATCCTCAAATCAGGAAGGGAAGAAAATTATAGCCAAGAGGTATTTCCATGTGCCAAGCTACAAATATTAGCAAGACAAGAGTCTGCTGTAGACATTTTGTAAAACACCAAATAGCATTTGTTCTCCCAGTCTCTGAAGAAGAGATTACTTAAAACCACCCCAAGCATGGAGCAATAAGGATTTATTGAACAATTTTACTACACTGCATCCATCTCTCAGGAATCATTTACCTATAGGAAAATAGAGGTAGGTACACAGTAAAGGGGAAGGGGCATAGGAATTGCCCACATTCAGTCTCTAGCTGCAAATGTGGATCTGTCTGGGTTCAGAGTTCTGACAGGTAAAGGGAAGGTCACCTTTGCACACCTATGAGGTAAACTGCAAGTAACTGATCAACAAATTTAGTCTACCAATTTGTAGCAGAGAACCAAGATTTCCACCAGGCTAAAGAGCTTCAAGTAACAAATCCCACAGTAAATCGTCCTATGTTTGACACAAAGTGAGTATGACAAGCAGAAAAAAAAAAACACATGACTGGTTTCCTTTAGGATGTTTTAGTTGATAAATTTAAGAGTTGCTTAATTCCAACTCCCCCACCCTATCCATGACTTTGGTCATCAGTAACAGAGATTTAGCGGTTCTAGAATGAGAATAGACATTTGTACTGTCTATTACAGATGGAAGACTTAAAACTACTCTCTCTGAGTTGAGACTACATGCCAACACACTGGATGAGACAACAAGAATCAGAAGAATCTTAGAAGTATGTATATAAAATAAAAGTTGCTCCTCAAAATTAACATCTTGAGAAGGAGCTCACTTTCTTTAACTGCCTTCAGAGAAAGCTCACACACCACACTTGCAATGCAGCCTTGTCACATCACAGTTATCCCTTGGTTTTGACCCAAAGCAGCATTACCCAGCTTGACTGTTTGCAAAAATCGCCCCAATAGGATGAATATTACTGTGTTGGTAATAGTCTACCAAATGTGCTATAAGCCCTAGAGACAATCCCCAGAGAAAATTCTATAGCTGTATCGAACTATAGCATCATTATCAGAATGTGTACACTTCCCTCCTAAATGTGAATACTTTCCAAAGAGCAATACTTGCTTGACTACACAGCTGTAGTATACTTGCTTAAAACTCAGTCACATGATTTTGGGATCGTGTGTTATAGAATTATTGATCTGGAAGGGACAATGTGGTTCAGTCTATAAAGCTGGGATAAAACTTTAAATGAGTGGCTACTCCCTGTTTAGAAGAGAAGCCCTTAACCTGAAATGCTGCCACATTTCCACCACTTTTTAAGGGCCTTCTGGAAGAGATGAAAATTAACTCCGTATCATATATGTCATATGCCCTAGGAGAATGTAAAAAATTATCTGAGGCATTGGAAGATGTTTGTTGATTTGGCCATCAGCACCCATTGGTGGGCGTTGGTCCTAGATACTTGAGTGGGGACTAAGAGGTCAGGAATATGGTTTATAGTTGCTGATATCAGCAGTATGTCCGGAAACAGGCCAGAGGATGTTGGAGGTGGCAGGGAGGCTCCCAGAAAAGGACTGATGGGGCACCAAAGATATATATTTCCAGGCGGTGGCTCACGCCTGTAGTTCCAGCACTTTGGGAGGCCGAGGAAGGCGGATCACTAGCTCAGGAGTTCTAGACCAGCACGGCCAACTTGGTGAAATCCCGTCTCTACTAAAAATACAAAAATTAGACAGGCGTGGTGGTGCTTGCCTGTAATCCGAGCTACTCAGGAGGCTGAGGCAGGAGAATCACTTGAACCTCCTGGGAAGTGGAGGTTGCAGTGAGCTGAGATCAAGCCACAGCACTCCAGCCTGGATGACAGAGCGGGACTCCACCTCAAAAAAAAAAAAAAAAAAAAAAAAAAATTCTCTCTCTCTCTCTCTCTCTCTCTCCTGTTGTAAATTGTTTATTTTGGTTAACTCCATAATGTTTACCCTCAGGAAGGCTAATAGCACACAGTTGTGTGTGTGTATGTAAAATCTCTTTAGCATCTCTAAAGAATAGACATTTAGAATCTGTTTTTATCCCAAAGGACTTAATCTACTATGTAGATTATGTAAGTAGGGCTCAACATTAGAAGAATATTCTTTTTAAGAAGTCCACAGTGATCTATAAGGATTCCAGCAAATGCCACCTGTGAGCTGTAGATCCTAGTGGCTGAAAGTATAGGCTTCAGAGTAGATCATCAGAATCCCAGCTGCTACTCATTATCTGTGTGAACTTGGGAAAGCTATTGAACCTCTCTGTGCCTCAATTCTCTTACCTGTAACATGGAAATAATGGCATTTCCCTCATACAGATGAAATGAAATGCCACAAGTAAGGGTGGCAGAAGTCATGCCGGTTATAAATGCTAATTCATTGCTATCTCATTATTTATAATTTCCATTTTTATGGTCAGAAATCTGGGCCTAGAAAGGGTAAATTGCAATACACTCAAGCTGCTGGATAGTGGAAAAATTAGGGATAATTCTCTTTTATTTCCACAATACTGTTTATGTTAGAATTTGGGATTTACTCCAATGCTGCTTCTATATAATAGCAGTGCTTATTTAAAAATAACATTTTGGTGATTTATGACTCTTTCCATAATCATAATAGTAATCAACTTATTCTAGACTCTGAACTGAGAATTTCCTCATTTTATTTTCAATACACTCCTAGGAGATTTTCTTTTCACTCCTATTGATAGGTGAGGAAATAGGCTTAGCGAAGTTCAGTGAGTCCCTTGAGGTGACACAGCTAGGACTGTCAGAGTAAGAATTTGAACCTACATTCATCCAAATCCAAGTGCCTACATATAGCATTAGAAAATAGTTCTATGACTTGCTTTTAAATGCCCCCAAAATTGCCTGGGTTAAAAAAGGAATTTTGTTAGAAAAAAAAAAATGTGTATATGTATGTCTCTACTCCAAGTTCATTCTCCATAATCTGTAACTTTTTAAAAACCCACGTAAGTGGAAAAGAGCTGAAAGCTGTCCTTAGTGCATAACTTTTGAATCCTCATTGAGTCTGGTGTTCTCTTGGCCAACATCTAGGGCAAAGGTTAGCTTGGACAGAGTTTGTGGTGTTTGTGGCATTCTTTTCTGGGCACTAGCCATGAAAACTACTCTAGGAATGCTATTGGAATTAGGCTCTGCACCATCACACTGTCCTGAGATAATGTTTTGACATATAATGTGCTATCTTTGTGCTTAGACAGATAATGTAGACCTGTCAAATTACACGTACAAAGCAATATTCAAAGTTCCTTCCTTCCTTCCAGGAGGAGTTTTTTCTTTCAAGTTCCCTGGGGATCAGGACTAACTCATCAATATGTGCTCTGGAGGGACAGAGTTATGTCTTCATATTGTTCATATTTGGGGCGGACTCAACCTCTGTTTTATGTTAACCAAAGGACATAAGGTAACCAGATATTTTTTTCTCTGTAGTCATGATGATTTCATCCTTTAACACTTAACTCAGACATTATTTTTCCAGAAGCCTTCCCTGATTTCCCTTTGCTGGGTCAGATACCAAAACTCTGTGCTCTCATATCATTATTCTTTCTACCTAGTATTGGAATGGTAGTTGAAAAATCCTGTCTCCCTTTCCTTACTGTGCTTGCAGGCAGGGATCATGTTTTATTTCAGGCTGATATTCAGTCCACATGTATCACAGGGAGTCATTGCAGGATCATTATGATGGGTTGGGCATTTAGATATTCCAGTTGGTTGGTGCAGGTATAGATCAGTCATTTAATACTCAATCCCACCTCTGGCTTCATTCTGATTCTCAGCATAATTACAACATCTTGCACATGGTAGGTACTCAGCAAGTGCACATTGACTTAATGACTAATTTACTGCTTGGATAAATGACCATCTGATTGACAACTGGATATGTCACTAACAGCGTACATTATAATGCTCTATTCTGAGTAAGCAAGAACCTTTGATCATTACAGATCACAGTGACACTAATGCTCTACAAGGAAGTACTAGCCCTTGCCTCTAGATGCCCCCAACGAACCAGGCTTTATGAGGTCTTCATATGACTCCATCAAGACCACTACTGTCTTTGGTCTTGATCTTGTCCCAATACAAACATAATGGTAACCAAAACATAATGATCAAGCTAAATGATCTCTGGGAACTCTGTATTTGGAGTAGTAGAACCCTTACCTGTCTCTGCTGTTGGGAGACTTGGTATCCCATTCCTGCAATGGGCTGATTCTGCATTTGCTGAAGTAGGAGCTTTTGCTGAAGTGGCAAAGGTGACCTTAGCAAAGGCTGGCTTGGTAGAGATTGGGCGGGCTGAGAAGATGGTTGTTGCTGCTGCTGCTGCTGTTGCTGCTGCTGTTGTTGCTGCTGTTGTTGTTGTTGTTGCTGCTGCTGCTGTTGTTGGGCTGAAATCGAGCTCTGCTGCTGTTGCTGTTGCTGTTGTTGAGCTGAAATTGAACTCTGCTGTTGCTGTTGCTGCTGCTGCTGCTGTTGCTGTTGTTGCTGCTGCTGTTGCTGCTGCTGCTGCTGCTGCTGTTGCTGGGTGTAGTGTAGGAGAGAAGGCTTGTTCTGAGAAGGCAAAACAGAAGGCATCTGCTGGTTTGCTTGATCTGAGTTAAAATGAAACAAAGGCTTGGTGTTGCCCTGACGGGGCTCCATGGCTGGGTGCGGGTTGTTAATAAAACTTCGACTGAGATCCTGAGGCTTTTGCTGCATGAGCACATCCAGGTGCCCACCCTGGGCTGAGGGGCCAGCCTTGTACATGTAGTTAGCCATTACTTTCGACTGGCCGCTGCCACCAGCTACCCCAGACATGGGGGAGCTCTGTGGGCTGAATGTCTGCTGACCAAAAGAAGGGCTGGGGATTTTCTCCTGCCCAAATGGACCTGGTGATGGTCCAGCAGAAGAGGGCAAGGCTGACCAGTTGGTAGGCTGGTGCTGCTGCTGGTGCTGCTGCATCCGGGCATGCTGCTGACGATTGGCAGCTATCTGTTTGAGCTGCTGGGCATGGGATACTTCCTGCCAGCTTGGCAGGGCCCGATTTGCTCCTGAGCCTGTCTGAGGCTGAGCCTGGCTCTGAGGGACTGAAGGGATTGGAGATGAAGTGGAGAGGGCAGAGTTGGCCATGGAGAATGCGGGGCCAGCTGATGGGGGCCTCAGCTGAGGAGAGCCTGAGGGGCCTTGAGTCAGGCCTGGTGAGTATTCACTTTTGATCACTATTTTCTCCATGGGTAAGGAGGGCCTAGGTGTGCTCCTCTGGCTTTGCTGACCCAAGTCAATGTTAAATGGGTCATCCTGCTTTATGGTGGCATTGATCATGTTCTCCAGTTCAAGGTCACTCATGGGAGGCACAGATATGTTGGTCAGTTCATTGAAGAGTTCCTGCAGCTCAGGATCCATCAGTTGTTCTCCAGGGTCGTCTCCATACCTATTAGGAAAAATATTCTCTTGGGTCATTTGGCCATCCATGTGCTTACTGCACGACAGAGTCTCTCCTGGCTCCTTCTTTACCTCCTTTAAGCCCATGTTAAACAGGCCATTGCCAGGAGAATGTGTATGGGATGGGAGAGTGTTAGTCTTTCGCAGGGGTGCTTGGCTCATAGGCAAGGTCCCTGACATAATCTGACTTTGTCCATTGTTTATTTGGAGGCCACCTTGTCCTGCAGTGAGATTCTCCCCAACACGAATTCTTTTGATATCAAGAAATGAGTTGTCCACAAAGCCATTGGGTCGCTTGCTGTTGGCAGGAGATAGGTTAACTACCTGTTTTCTTTTCAAGGAACCCTGGAGCTGAAAGACAGAAGGGAACAAAAAGGAAAAATAAGAGAAATTAATCAAATTATGCTTCTAATAAAAAGTGATGTGATATTTAAATGTTTCTTCTATTTATACACAAGATTCAGGTTTTTTTTTTTTTTTTTTTTTTTAAAGGCACAAAGAAAGCACAAATGAAGCACAGTCTGGTATATAATGAAACTCTCAGTAGCACAAACAAAACAAAATAAAATATTTCTGGAGGGGCAGGTCAATTAGGTTAGAGATCAATGGTTCCCATGAGTGGTTCATAGGTCAATGGATAAAGATTCCTTCAAATATCATAAGAAGTTATTCACAGTACCTAAGATTAAAGCACTGTTATTTTCTGGAGAAGGCCAAAATATTCCACACGTATGCACACACAACCCCTCGCAGCTACAGATGATCAGAGTGTGCACAATTTTAAGCAAGATAGAAAACACTCACAAGTCTAAAGCTGGGACCAAATCTCTAGTTTCTTTTTTTTCACAGACCCAACCCCTTCATCACTATTATCCTCTAAGCAAGTAATTAGAATAGTTCTCAGGTCTAAGGAGATATTCTATTATTGTTCATCTATTTTTCTTCCTATAATTCCACTGCTTTGCATCCAAGCCTATGCAGCAACCTTATGTGGACACACAAAAGCCATGAGATGATCATTTCTCATATGAGATACTTTAAGCACCGATTTTCCTGGGAATTCATTTCTTCTGTTTCCTATATCTAAATCTGATTACCAAAACGAAAGTGTTAATTGCTCAGGCTCTGGAAGCAGACTAAACTGAGCTCAAGTGCCAATTCTGTCACTGGATGCTATGTGACCGCGGCAACTTACCTGAGCCTCAATTTTTTAATCCAGAAAATGGGGATGATAACACTTAACTCATAGGAAGGGATAAGATAATGCATATAAAAGTTTAGAAAGTGCCTGTTACAGTAACAACTCAATAAACAACAATTTATAGAAAAAGTGTGGCTTACTACATTCTGAAAGGGGAGCATGTCTCTAAATAGCAACATGTTTAAGCTTTTCATGAATGTTAAAGCACTTCATTCACAACCTAGCAATCAGATTATACTTTATGAGCCTTAAAATTTACAGAGAAAGACTTAAGAGCCATATAATCACACTCATAAATTAAAAAGAAACATAAAACATTCATCATTCGTCCTCATCTCCTTGCTGATTTGTCTCTGAAGTGAGAGACCATATCTATCAGTGTGGCTTTCCCAGTGCTGCAGACCCACTGAAATTATTCAGCGTTTGCTCAGCATAACTGTAAAATACCTGAGGCAAAGAAGACATTTCCTAGATAGAAAATTCGATCACTTCTCCTTTCTTGTCTTCTCACTTATGGCTACTCTCTCACCTATGGCTACTCTCTCACCTATGGCTACTCTCTCACCTATGGCTACTCTCTCACCTGCCTGAAGATTTCTAGGTAGACTAATTAAGAAAAGGAAATTCACATAACTGAGTATGTATTACATACCAAACACTTGAATATGGTTACTTTATTGCCCTTCATCTGCACATCAATCCCATTAGAAAGATATTATTACCCTTAACTTATAAACAAGGAAACCAATACTCAGACAAGCTAAGTAACTTGCCCAGGGTCACACAGCTAGCAAGTGGGCTTTAACTCAAGGTTTGTGTGGTTCTAAAGCCCATGTCATTTACACTCTACCATGCTCTAATTAACTTGTTTAGGGCTTGGGTCAACCTAGCATGAAGGGGCCAGGGGCAGTAACTACAGAGACATCCTAGATTTCAGGTAAAGGATGAGGAATATGAGAACGGCCAGGATGCAGTATAGAGCTGGGTGGGGGGAGGCGGGAATCTGCTTTTTGTCATCTGGCTCATCAATACTTGTTTCAGTCATCCCTTATCTGTAGTTTTGCTCACTCACAGATGGTAAATAGTTATGATGAATGTGTCATGTTGGTACAACAGATTATAACCATTGATGATTGGTAATCAGAGAAAGGAATCTGACCGAAGGCAGGGCGATTACTCCCTTCCATGGGAATTTTGGATTTGGAGAAAGTGAGACCAGGCTCTCTTTAGGTGGCTGTATCTATAAAACTTGTGAGCTGTTGTTCCATTATGTTAACTAGAGCCATAGAGGAAGCACATCTGTAGAAACAGAGAAAAATGAAGCAGAGGAGAGACACATGTTTTAATATCATTCAGGAGCTTATTTCCAATCCCATGTCAGCTCTGCATCTCTGCTTGTTTTCTCTGATACACTATGGAATCTTTATAATGAATTTCCATGTTGCTTAAGCTAATACAAATTGGGTGTCTGTTACTTTCAACCAAAAGTTCTAACCAAGTTCCCTGAGATCACATTTAGTGACGAACAATTTGCAGCAAGGGGCTGGGCATGCTTTGTACCTGGGTGTGAACTTCCCCTCTCCCCGCATCTCTGCTGTCTCTGCATGATTTGCTGACTCCTAATCTTGTCCACTCACTGGTGTAGACATCATCACAGAACACGGTCAGCTATCACCACATTCAGCAGAAACTCAGTTACCACTGTCTATCCTCATGGGGTCAGGAAGAACACAGACCAGAGAGTGTCAGCCATGTTGCTTCTGATTTATTTCAGCATAAATTGCATTTTGAAGGTTCTTTCACAACTAGGAAAGAACAAACAAAGGAGTACATTCTTTTTCCAAATTTGGGTTATCACCTTTGATTTATTTTCCACTGCTTTGAAAAAACCTGTTCAGCCAGATTCTCTCACTGCTCTGGCCACTCCCTGGGCAGTGCAGTACGCGCTCTGGGAAACAGCAGTCACACTTTCTTTAGGCCATGAGGAGTGTAGAGACAGTAATAGAATTAGTGATAATTGTATAATAATGAGTCATTTATTGAAGGCCTGCGTGTGAGATGTTGTACTAAGCACTTTATGTGAATAATCTTATTTAATTCTCACAACTCTCAGAATCTTCACAACTCTATAAAGTTGATATTATTTCTTCCCCTCCCCCATTCTGCAGATGAGAAAACAAGTTTAGAGATTGAGTATCTTTTCAAAGGACAGACAGAGTAAGCAACGAAGTCAGGAATCAAACCAGGCATTCCCACTGCACAGCCTGTGCTCTGCAGTAAGTGACACCCTAGGTCCTGACACAAGTAAATGGTACCCACAGCTGTGTCTTCAGGAAGCCAGGGATCTCGTCCTGATTCTTCCATTAACTTGCTTTGTTACTTTAGGGAAAATACTCCACTTTTCTGGGCCGTAGTTTTCCTCTCCTTTATAAATGGGATTATCTCTGAGATCATTATCCTGCCCAAAGCCAGAAAATAACAAGCAATAAAGGAGGGAAGTTTGGGATCCAAGCACTATGTGTGGTGGCGTAAGGTTACCCGCAAGCACAACTGGAGGGATCCCTTAAGATAGGGGACAGAAGAACTCACGTGTGATTCCATTAGGATAAAAGACACCCATCAGAATTTCACTAGGCATGATACTTTACCAAGAGAATTTGGGGATAGGCTGTGCCCTACTTTCTAGAAGTTTCTAAACTAGTTATATCACCGAGGCCCACTGAATGCCTACATGCAGTAGGCACCAAGCTACTGGCACAAGCACCATACAATCTAAATGATTCTCAAGGATCACTTTTTGCTTTGAAATATCTCCTTTGCTGGACTAAAATTCTTCCATTAGATACATGGGTTTGAATTATATTATAGAATCTCTCAAGATGCAAATACTCCAGAAGCAACAGAGGAGGAATATAGTCAATAATACCCCAAGGAGAAACAGTTTATGAGAAAATTCAATGCCAACTTATCAGAACAAGAATAAAGTCCTAAGGGAACAAGACCTAATCAGGGGAATGGTGGGGAATAAAGGCAAGGGTTTAAATAGAGAAGGCTGGGGGTAAGACTATGGGAGTTGGGAGCTCCACACTGTGGACCTTTTGGGTGGCTAGGAGAAAAGAGAAGGGGGAAAGGAGAAGTATTAGGGTAGTAATGTCCTGAGGGGCAGCAGGGCCTGAATCTTCCAGAAAACAGTTAATGATACTGGAAAGGTAAAGGGAAGTATCTCCAAAACAAATCCTTCCCCAAGGGCTGACCTACCCATTAGGCATGGGATACACAGTGCCCAGGGCTCACAGTAGTTACAGAACAGAAGGAAAAAAATAAGATTTTAGGTTGAAGAACTGTTTCAACATATGTTAATTTAACTGTTTCAATATATGTTAATATATCTCTATGCCAACACGGTCATAAAATACAATTTTTAATATTTTTTAAGGAATAAGGGGCTTCAAAGGCAAGAGTATGTGTGTTCTATGAAAGCCTCTCACCTCCTAACTATTGTGTACTGAATGCTTATTCTAGACAGGCACTCTGTGGCGTAAGTACTTGTTTAATCTCATGGCTCTCTGAGGCTTATATACCCATTTCATAAGTGAAAAAATTGAGGTTCCTGACATTAAGATTACACAGTAAAGATATGGAGGCAGGATGCCAGCCCAGACATGTCTGGTTCCAAAGTCCTAATTCTGAACCACTAACCATACTGCTGTCTTCTCTTTCGGCCCCTACCTTGCCAAATGCTGACAGTGTTCTGAACACAGTGAACCCAGATAGCCAAGACAAAAGGCCAATAGAATGAAGATGCATTGTGAGCACAGGGCAGGGGTAAGGGCATTCAGGACACAGGGGGTTGGATGGCAAGGAGAGAATGATGACATCATTGGTGGGGTTGATGGTGAGAGTTCAGGCCATCACTCCCGAGGCTCCAATATAGGACAGGAAAGAGACAAAAGGTCATTCGGTCAGTCAAAAAGATTTACTAAGCAGCAGAGAGAGTTCTGAACCATATCCTATCAAATCATCCCGGGCACAAGGGAAAATATGCAGATGATTAAGCCAGCAGCAGGATGTAAAGGCTTCCAATCAGCACTACATCTCAATCTTTGCACTTTTTCCACTACCTAGGTGGATAAGAAGCATTTTTTATTTT